AGAGGTATAATTACGCAACCCCCTGACATTTGAGTCCTTTATTAAGTGAATGGAAAGTTGTGTGAGCAGTGCTTGCTCTTAAATGTGGAGAATCAGCTTCACTGGAGCAGAAGACGAGCAGGGTAGAGAGGGTCTGTATTTTATATAGGGAAGTATCTAGGATTTGTAAATGAGGAAGCATGAACTCCTGATCTGGTATTGGTTGTGATGGGAAGCTCTTTCCTGTCGTTCTGTCCTCACCTGCCACTTTTCCAGTACTTAACCCTTGCTCCTCAGCTGGGAGCAGCCAGCAGAATTGGGACATAGAGCGTTTCAGATTCTGGACACCATGACATGGCACCCAGCCTGCACCAGGGCAGCAGTTGCCTGGGGAAATCTTGCCCAGCCTATGTGCTACTACGCTGTGTTAAATTATTCCCCAATCTAGAGTCAGTTCCTGGGGCTGACTTTATAGTTTGAGTAGAGTGGAGAGAGGTAGGTGCTGAAGAATGAACTTTCAGAAGGTAGCCAGACAAGTACGGTACTACCTGGTGTATGTGCTAGAGAAGGACATGGCCATAGCTGTCCTCAAAGGTAGTTGGGCATTTCTTCCACTGAAATTATCTGTTGAGAGCAGTCTGGTGAAATTTAGCATTTAAGCCAGATTGTTCTTTTCTGGCAATAAAACAAGACACGTGCTGTGCCTCTGCCATCTACTTGCTGGTGCTTTGGGCTATTGCAGGAAGCAAGGTGCATGTTTCCAAATATGTCTTTTTGGACTGGAAGGATGTCTGTGGTGTGCAGTAAGATGTAGTGCAGAAACCCTAGCCTGTTGCTTCCAGAGGAGACAAATTTGTCTAGAAGATGCTTTATAACCCTTGGGGTGAGGGGAGGGGTCTTAGTCTTGTGTTGAGGGCTGTCACCTTAAATATTGGATAGCGATTCAAGGTTATAAACTGGCAGTATTTACTGCTCGTACGAGGTGGAACAGCATCCCAGAAGGAGGATGTTTACGTGGGAAGCCTCAGAAGCTGGTACCTGAAAGAGCAATGGTTGGAGTACTCCTGGCATGTGTCAGGTCTGTATTTCAGAAGCTGCGTGGACAAGCAGACTGCTCTCGCCACAGAGCCCCTGAAGGCTGTCTTCACGTCAGTTCAGTAAGAACTTACCGGGAGTAAAACCAGTGCTGAACTGTGAGATGGGTGTGGTGGCGGCAGCTGGCCCTCTCTAACTTGTACTAACTAAACTCCTTCACTACGGCCTGCGTGCTAAGTTCAGTGAAGGCAAACTTCTCTTCCACTCTAAGGGTGATCAAATACCTGAAAAGTAAAAAGTAATTCTCAAAAGGCAGAATTTTGCCTGTGTTGCTAGTTTTCCCGATTGTGTAGTTTTCTGTCTATCGCTGTTCTACCACCTCCTGTGTGTCTGTGCTTTTTAAACAATGATACGCAAGTCACTTTCACAGCTGAATTCAGCTGTGAGATACATGTCTGAGTAATTCTATACACAATTGATCAGAGTCTTAGAAATAATTGCTGTGTTTGCTTTTAAGGCCATATTTTGCTTTTTTCCGTTGCAGCAACGAATCAGTATTCAGCAGCCCTTCACTATTATCTACAGGCAGGAGCTGTATGCTCAGACTTCTTTAATAAGATGGTACCACCAGATGTGTACACAGACCAGGTGAGTTAAAATGGCATTTAGATATACAAAAATACCTCTTTGGATTCAGTCAGCATCCTAATTCTCTGTAGAGACAAAACTGCTAGACATGTGCACGTTCCTGTAGCCTGTAAGATCCTACATCTGATGCATTTAGAGGTATGAATCCTCATTCTCCATTTTTCTTTGCTTGTTGCTTGAAGGCCATAGAAAATGTGAAGCTTCTCCTTTGCTGGAGCACAGAAGGCTTTTCTGTTAGTTCGTAGAGACTGAACGTGCAGAGTTGCCAGCTGGGGAAGCACTGGTGCCGGGCTCCGGTGCAGCAGTGAGCAAATGAAAAAGCCAAGAGCACGCACATCACCGTGTGGTGTGGCGATCCCCCAGCTCGTCCCTGTGGGGCTGCACCGTGTTGCGCAGTGCTGGGCAGGCAGACCAGCTCAGGAGAGCGCAGCAGCACTTCTTCCTCACTGGCTGTGCTGCAGCACTGGGCCTGAGCCTCCAGCCAGTGGAAACATCCAGCTCCACTGCGCTTCTGCTGCTGGTGTTGCGTGGATGGAGCCTGCTTGCTTCCACCCATGGTGCAGATGAACATAAGCGTATCATCTAAACACTTCTAAAATATTGTCTGCTCTATCTAACATAGGTGAGGGGTGGGAGTATGGATCATGTTAGCAGTGAGATCCAGACAATGTTGGCTCCTTTTCAGATGCCCACACTGGTATCTTTTTCCAGACTGACAGTGAGCAGAGCTGCATCGCAGCGCTGTGCGAGGTTGTCCAGAGATGGGTGGGATTGTAACTTACCACTGTCAGAGCGTGCCGGAGGTATGGCACTGTGCATAGTGTGTACCTGTGTACTCTGCAAGTTGGTGTAACAAGTGGCTTGTCACTTACAAGTGGGCCATGAGTGAGAACACCTTAATAACTGCGTGTGTTGGGGGGAATCTTCAATCCCAGCCAGAGCATGTTCCGGTGAAGTCTGGGAGCTGCTTTAACCTTTATCCAGGCATTTGTCATCTTCATTAGGACACCACCGTGTTACTTGTAGACTGCATTTTGGTAGGCGATAGGCTTGTCGTGACTGTCCAGACCCGGGGAAGGAGGTTATTTTTATACTCTGTCCGATCACTGCTCCTTTCATGTTCGTGTTCATACGGCAAGTGAGAGCTTCGGACACTGCCTGAGATCCCGAATGTTCACAGCCCAATCTAAGCTGTGCCTCGTGCCAGGCTACAGCGGTGCAGGCGTCCTGGCTGGGACCACCGTGCTGTCACACAGCGGCGCTGCTGCTCGCCAGCACGTGTTTTGCCTCGGTGTGAGAGCTTTTGTCCGTGAGCCCACTCACTGCGCAGTTCCCACCCAGGTCAGGCCTTCTCTGTGGGCGGCAGGAGATAAAGGTGAAGCGCTTTCACAGACCACAGCCCGGCTCTCTTCGCAGGAACGCAGTGCTTTGTTCTGTAGCACGCGTCATGCTCCTGTGAAGTCTCCGAAGTGATGCAAGCTCAGCTGATCGGTGGATGTACCAAAACCCAGGAATTGTTGGGGGGTGGGCAGAAGAATGTACTTGTTATTTAGCAGCAGCAATGTATTTAAAAAAAAAAAAAATTAAAAAATTGCTGTTTGTGTTCCAATACTAGCATTTCAAAACTTTTGTTTTAACTGTTCTGTAGGTGATAAAAAGAATGATCAAGTGTTGTTCTTTACTCAACTGTCACACCCAGGTAAGAGTTGAAACGTGGCATTTGGTAAAACATTGGTTTATAAATATTTTGATGTTAAAAGAGGGGGAGAACTTTCTAAAAAGCAAAACTGAATCCAACTTTCCTTGTAAATGCAGTCTGCAATAAAATAGGTTTTGTTGTTGTTACTGTTGCTTCTAGGACACTAAAAGGACCCAAATTAACAAGTAAATAAAGACATACTTAGAAATGTAAAAAGCAGAAAGTCTGTGTTTTTTCTGTCCCACTTTTCTTAGGATAGAGGTGTGTGTGGTTTGTTTGTTTGATTTTGTAGAGTTGAGAATGGCTGTGGTATCGGTGGGGTGGTGTTGGGAACCTGGCCTTGTTGTTCATGGCAACCACCTGTGGCTGTTGTTCAGTGGGATTGTTCCTTCTCCAAGAAGTAACAAGGCTGGCGTTAGGCTCTGATTCCAGAGCTATTACATGCGTTTAGAAACCTGGAAGCCGGGTCAGTCCCTTCAGACTTGAGTAAAACCCCTTTTCCTTCCTTTTTAGCTACTACTATGTCGATATTTCAGAATGAGTTGTGTATGCTCTTGAAGTTCAGGTGCTCGAACTCGCTTGCTGTGGAAACCGGCACTTGGTTAGGTCTAGGAATGGGGTGGGATTACTGAGGTATTTTGTGGAAGACTTTAGTTTGTGGGGAATTAAGGCTGTGAAAGTCACCTGTGAGTCTTTCCTTACAGGTAGCTATTTTATGCCAGTTCCTCAGAGAAGTAGACTATAAAACTGCGTTTAAGGCACTGCAGGAACAAAACAGGTAAGTGTTACAACGAAGTTTATAAATACGTATACGCAATATGTGAACGCGTTGGGTAATCTAACCTTGTATTGTCTTTCAGTCACGATGCCATGGATTCTTATTACGAATACATCTGGGATGTCACAATTCTGGAGTATTTGACATGTATCCTTTCACTAGAATGAATACTGCTAGAGAGAGCTCACACTGGCTCTTCACGGCTGGAAAAAGTCTGTTTCCTACCCAAGTGACTTTCCTTGACTCACTCCCAGATCTTCACCACAAAAGAGGCGAGACAGACAAGCGGCAGATAGCAGTAAGTGAACACAGGGGGCTTGGGGGTATGGGATTTCTTTGGGGTGCCTTTCCCTCCCCAAAAAGAATTGCCACTTCCAGTTTTAATTTTGTTGTGTAATTCTTAATAGCATCTGGATGCTGATGTAAAGTTGTTGTACCCGGACGGTTTAGGGGTGGGGTGGCACAGCATGTTACAGAAATACATCACCCCTTGAACTAGTGCTGAAAATGCCTTGTAATGAAGCAGCTTTGCTAGCATGACTGTTGCTAGTGATGTCTCCTCCTCTTTTGTTTCCAGATAAAAGCCATTGGCCAGACAGAGCTGAATGCCAGCAATCCTGAGGAGGTCCTACAGCTTGCTGCACAGAGAAGAAAAAAGAAGTTTCTTCAAGCAATGGCAAAACTTTACTTCTAGGCTAATGCTGGAAGACTATTATAAAATGTGTGGAAGTGGAAAAAAATCTTTCAAGACTTTATTATTTTTAAATTCATTTAAATTTTTATACAACATTTACAGCCTAGTATCTTTCTTTTTAGAAATAGATGAAATCTTATAATAAACCCCTTATTTTTACAAACTGTACAGAAGGCTGGAAGCAACTTCAGCTAGTTCCACAATGACTTGTTTGAAGGAGATGTGAATTCAAGTTTGCTAAGTTAGCGTGAGTTTAATGTGGATGCAGGTGGCACTTGATGCTCTAGTGCAGCTTCCTGGACTGCTCAATGTCATGTAAAACTTGTCCCTGGATGCGGGGCACGGGGAGGACGGATACCCACACTGTCCCTTCAGCACAGAAGTGAAGCACCTCATAGGCAGAGGTAGTGAATACTCTAAGGAAAACACAGTAGTTAATGCTGTTTTATAAACACTGATAAAATACAGCTCCACAGTTAAAGTACTGTTCCTATGACATGAGTGGTTGTAGAGTACCAGTGGCTCACTTTTTTCCATGCCCTCTCCAGTTTTCATCCTGTTGGTTCTTGTTGAGAGTTGGTGGCTGGATCTTAGAAAATAGGACTCCTTCCTTCCAGGACTGTACTTCTTCCAGTTCAGCAGCACGTTCTCTGCTTGTACTCTTACCTGAGGTCAGTGCTACACTAGAACTGAAGTCTATGGCAGCCCTAAAGGGGCTAAAGTTCATCGGCCTCATGTGGAGCTAGAGTTTGATGCTGGGCTATGCTGTAATGCAAGGGCAGAGTGGTTTCAGAAAAGTAAACTTACCCACTGACCTCTAACACTGCACCTGAGCTCATGGGTGGCTAACTGACAGGCATTAAGCTCTGACCTTACCAAGAAAAAGAAAAAAAAAAAAAACCACAAAGAGGTAATATGTACAAGCTGTCATTAAGTTCTCCTGTAGGGCTAGCCCAAGTTAAAGCAAGTTTGACGTGTAAGTCAAGTGGACAAACTTTGCCATTTTTAAAAAGTTCTTGAAATTCATAAGTTAGGAAGGGTGAGAGTTGAACTGAGTCATGTCTGAGAACGGACCGAGTCGTCCAGGCTCTGGTGACAGCAGGGAGGGATGCTTGGTCTAAATCTTTTGTCAAGTAAGTCTGTAGGAGGACACCGGTCTCAATTTCCATCTGCTGCTCTATTTGATGCGTCTTTTACTGCCCAAGTCTTGAATAGCAGTAAAGAGCATGGGTCACCTTTAGTGTGGTCTTGTTCTGAAGCACCAAGTTCTGTTTCTGAGACTCTTGTTTGTGATGTTTGTTGTCCGTATTTCACTTCTTCTCTGTACTTTTGGGAGGGGTTATTATTCCTCCTGTTGACACAGGTGATAACTGACCTGGGGCAGTGGATGCTACTCCACTGTTAACTTCTTCCTGTGTATTGGGGGAAGATAATGACAGTTAATACCTGTGACAAGTTCTACTTTCTTGTTTCGCTAGTATTTGTTACACTGCTAGTACAGTTCAAGTACTCCAGATTTAGGATACTGAATAAAAAAACAAGGAGATAATGTTACACAACAAAGTAAAGATTATTATTTTTTAAATGCTTCACTGGTACTTCTACTCTGAGCCTTTGCTCACAGCCTGCAAGCATTACGGTAAAACACCTTTAGTTTATAGCAGGAGTAAGAAACAAAAGGTTAGGCATCGCTGATGACACTGGCTGAGGAGAGCCAGGCCAGATGCGAGCAGGAAGGTGTTTGGCCAGCCTTAGCTGCCTCAGGGGAAGGGGGGTGTAATGCACTCTCAGCTGTCTGAATCCACAAGCCACCTACCAGCATGTCCAAATAATTTGTGTGTGTCTGGATATTATGTCGATCTTCTACTGCAACCTTCTTGAAGTTCTTCAGCTTCACAGGGACTTTTTTTGCCACAGTCACAAAGGGCACCATCCATTCTACACACTCTGAAATGCTGTCCCAGTCCAAGCCTAGAGGGTAGAACACAGTAATACGTATACAGAGGTCACGGGGAGTTGCAGTGTTCCAATATGGTCATAACTTTAAAAACAACACTAATTAATACTGCAGATAAAAATGCAGAAACATCCTCCCAGAATCCCCCAGCATTTCCTTGTGCTTGTCACTTAAAAGTGTCATGGCAGAGGATGGTGAGCACAGGCCTCGAGCAAAACAACTCTGTGGCCATGAGGGTTCCCGTTGCTTACCAGGGGAGGCTGAAGTGACTTTTTCAGCTTGAGCACAAGATTTTGGTTCACACTTACTTATAAAAACATACACTATTGCCACAGTCCTTTATGGTACCTCAGGCAACACACAAGTGCTGAGCTTAGTTCAGTGATTTTTTTTCTTCCCCCCCTACTTTGTACAGGACAGGCTTGTAGGAATTTGCACACAGGTTAATCGAATGCCACCGACAGCTGAGGATGGCTGGTGGCTGACTACATTCTAGGAGAAAAAGTAGCCAAATAACGTATAGCTAACCATCCCTGAAACAACTAAGTCAGAGAGCAGTATTAACCCAAAAGCAAGAAGGGTAAGTCTGCTTCATTTCCTTAGCTAAGACCGTGCTTCTGGTCTTATGAGGCTTCTGAAAGCGTTTCCTTCTTTTCTGAGTCTTTGTAACATCTGAAATCGGGGTAGGAAGGAAGTGAAATTAGGAGGGGAAAAAAAACCCACAGAACAGAAGAACAAAACTGTTAAGTGTCCATGTAGCTTTTGCTCTTTGGCAGCCTGGTAAACCAATACACTCTTAGCAGCCTCAGGCATGTAACAGCTTTCAGAATTCCCTGCCTAACAAGACCAAGCTTTACAAAGGCTTCTTACCTGAAGCTTTCTTAACTACTTCAATTGAGGTATAGTGGCAGAGCGCTGCAGCAGCTAGTGTTCTGTACTGGAAGTCCAAAGAATTCACATCCAGAATACACAGGTCTAAGAGCTGAGGAAATGAAGAGCGGAGGAAGCAAGAGTTACAAATTTTAACAAAATGATACTTTAGTATAATCCTGTCTCAGAAACTGCTATGCATACAGCAGTCCTACAGCCTATGCTCTATAACATGGCTGACCTTTTTAGCATCAATCGCATGCATCTAATTTATTTTTGGCACCAACTGCAGTTAAAGTGGATCTCACAGAGTTACAATGCAAACCAATTTGCACTTTTACCAGTAACACGCAAGACACTTTGCTCGCACAGATTTAAGTACACTTTGAAACTCTTAGCAGACCTCCAGGACGGTATTTCCTTAAATTAAAATATTACCTAGCAGCTCAGTGACTTAGACCAGCCTACTCTTCAGTAAGCCTCTCTGAGGCTGGACACAACACATGCCCATAAAAATTGAACCACAGCAGTTTCAAAATAGTCAAAACACTCCTCAGGCTGCCCTTTACGCAAATACACAGAAACACTGTTACAGATAACACAGGTAAAAACAGTTAACTGTCCCTTGCATCTCAAATTACCCACCCTCCTCTCAGAGCTGTTGCCGCTGTAGTGCACAGCGATTAAAAAAAAACAAGATGGATTTTTATTCTTCCAGTGTACAGAGAAGTCTTAGGATATGTGAGCCGGGAGACAAGAAACACATGGGTGCTTGTCCTCAAAATTTAGTATGAAGTTCTCTGGCAGTCAAACTTGCACATTCCTTAACGAAGTAACAGGTGAGGTGACACAAGGAAAAGCATTCTTTAATGGCTTTTGGGGTATAACATCCACTTGTGCTTGTAATCACTCCAAAAAGCATTTTCTGATACAGTTTACTGCTTACCTGTGCTATCTGAATGAACTTTTCCTGAGAATACTGAGGTAGCAGCACTTTTGGAACATCCTTCAGAGCATCCACTTGAAGATAGAGGTTCAGCCAAGAGACGATTGTCACTGGACAGAGTTCCCATTTTAAAGCCTGCAAATATTAAACAAACAGGTAAGCACCTTAAACCACGCAAGGATAGTTTTGTGCCCTGGTCTCTTTTCCCATACCTCCCCTTACGAGTTTGCTCAGCTTATTGCACAGATCCTCAAAAGACACTAAAGCTTGTGTACAATTTCAAGTACAGATATTCATTTCAGATTGCATTCTCAGTACTTTTTGAACGGGCGGTATTACAATCAGCAGAAACATGTATCCCAATACCTGTGAGGTTGGAGCTTCCCCATTCAGAAGCTGGGAAATCAGAGTATTTCCCCTGAGCCTTCAGGCTAGCTGCCTGAACCTGCAGCTCCTATCTATTAAGGAAGGATAAATGTATAAGGAGTTCTGTGACAGTAAGGATGGATCCTTTCCAACGTGAGGAGCACTGAGTAGTGTCGGTGTCAGCTCTTTCCTGGCTCTCCTGTTCCCGCCAGCAAAGTACGCTGGCAAGGGCAGTACATGACAGTGACAGCCTTGTAGCGGGCCCCGTGGCTGGCTGTACCTGTTAAGAGCCTTTACTTTCACACAAGCTTGAGAAACCTGTCCGTTTCTAACAGACAGGGATTTCACCCCAGCCAAGGGGCTCTAGAGGTCCACTGCGCATACAATGAAGGTTTCATTGTTTTGCAGAAAGAAGGACATACTAAACACATTCCTTTTCCAAGCAAATAAATGACATTAAAATACAAGGCTCAGCTGGACAGTCTTTCAACTGGCACTTACAAGCACAGCAAAGTTATTACCTTTAACATAATAAGTTCCATTCTTACAATATCATCTTCACTGCAAGCACCATCAGTGACGTAAGCAAATTCTTGTATTTTAGGAGCGTAGATTTCCTTTAAAGGGAGGGGGTGAAAAAGTGAAGATTAGAGCGCCTTACAATTCTAAGAAGGCTTGAGAAGATACCGGCAAATACATTTCAGTCCATAGTGAAGTATTAACATTTCTTATGCTAAAACAGTGCTTTTCTCATCATATTAAGTGACTTGAAACTTACAGGATGATGAGATACTAAAACCAAGTAGATTATATGTTATCTATTGTGAAACACGATAGATTTATTGCAACTCTTTTAGCTTTTGGGGAAATAAATGCTGGCCAAACAATTGGAACAGCCTTTCATTATACCGCTTTCTACTCAGCCGTTCCATTTGATGTAAAAACATACACCGTCCCATTCTTGCAGCACACTGCTGTGTTAGAAATGGCTTGCTGATACAGGTTACGTGCGATGTCAGTGCTGATGTAGTCACACAGATTTAAAAAAAAAAAAAAAAGAAGCTAGAAAAAGATGAGAGAAAATCCCACAGCCACTGTAGCTGGCAAAATCCATGGCGCAGAGATGGTTAACAAAGAAATTTGCCAACGCAGTCATGCCAGTTTGGGCCACCTATAGCTAGCTGTGTGAGTAAAAGAGAACTTGCCAGTAGAACTGCTTCTCTACCAGTTGGCTCCACAGCCTGATGCCCCACGCACTTCCTCAGGATAGAAAACTGCTTGTAGCATGCTACCTTGGCTTTAGGAACAACAGCTAGATTGGGGGGGGTTCCAAGTATAAAAACTTAATAACCGAAATTTTCCTCTCAGTCTAGCCTACCAGGCACTATACAAAAATATGCTCTTGGCTCGTAGATGTAGTGCACAATGTAATGTATCACCATCACTGCACTTCAAAAGAAAAAAAACTCCGCTAAATAGGTTTATAGGGATATCATCCTGACGTACAGGCAGTTTGAGACTTAGGCTTGGTTTTGTTCAAATCCCACACCCATTCCTGAGATTGTTTGCCAACCGCTGTATATTTGGAAAAAGACAAAACAAAATAAAAATACTCCTAGCACGTTTGCATACCTCCTAAGTTTATGTGGTCTCCTTCCCTGCTGCTGAGGAAAGGGAGGACAAAGACCACACTCCAAGAGATTGACATATTCACAACTGAAGGAAGATAAAACAATTTCCCCTTCTGACCTTCAGTGTTGTATGTACACCACCAAGTTCAAAAGATTCAGACAGAGGTAGTAAATGTGTTATCACTGTCTTTTTAGTTATTCCAAACTTAATTTCCGCCTCCCTGTAACAGAGCTTCTTACCTCAAGTTTGGAGGCAATGAATAACGAGGTAATTCCTATGAGCTGAAGCATGCTCTTGTTAATGTTCTTTTGTGTCAACATGAACCTATCAAAAAAGTCTTGAGCTAGGTAGAAAGTTTCCCTGTGGAGTGCATACACCTCACATACCTACAACAGGAGAAAAAAAACAATTCAGTTTTCTGTTATAAAACTCTATGTACATACATTGGAGTATTCAAGCTTTAGTACTAAAACACAGTATGCACAACTTTATCTTTTGCACATGAACTATCACATACCTAGGTGTGTTAGGATGCAGTGGTTAGTATGGGACTGGGAAAAGTATTTCCCATGCTCCCACCTAAATATGGATTGTCTATGATGCACTAACGTGCTTCCAAAGTATACCTTTTCCAATCTAAATAGCATCCAGTTTTCCTAAAAATGAGTACAAACAATTTTCCACTGAAAGAAGAAAGCGTCATT